CCATATCGCCAAGATCGCCCTCCATCGTGTATCTGGACAAATTCGCGAGCAAACGGTCAAGAGCGTTATTAAAACGACAATAGCATTAATGTCTGAACTGCTTACGTCTTGCCCGTTCCGGTTTGCCCATAAGCGAGAATACTGCAGTTGTAACTTGTAACGATAAAGAAAATGAAATATACGTTGGTGAAAGGTCATTTTAAATTACAACGGACAGGATCGATCTATTAAGTGTTAATTACCCCATAAGCACCTAAAAATGATGATAAATTAATTCGCTTGTCAAATGTTTAAGGAGAAAAAAAAAACGACTAAAACCGATGCTTGCCTCTTCTAGTATAGGAACCACGGTTTCTTGATATATTATTTGTTGGTTGGCGTCAGGACCGAATACCCTGTCGAAGAAGAAACTCTTGTTGGGTATTTTATCGAGCGGACTTGTCCGTAATTGGACTTCACGGCCTCTCGCATCTAGGCCAGTGAATACGACTATTGGTGAATTTTCTTTTTCTTCCCGTTCGTTGCGTTCCCTAACGCATCACAGAAATGTGAATATCTTTTTATTCTTGAAAGACATGGTTACGTGTGTGTATACCCTTCACTCACCGGCAACGAACTACCACTTGAATATTAGTTTCCTTCTCGCCCTTTTTGTCCATTCTAAATTTAACGTTAATGCTTGTATCAGAAATAGAAACTTTGTTTATCGTTATGACGCGTAATAGTAACAATGAGATTATGATATTTCAGGAAAGTGATCGGCATGATAATGAGAGGTGATAATGAGAGGTCATATTGAGAAGTAAACAACATTTGAAGAAATATAAATAAAGGTATTAAAATGTCTAACATTTATTTCACTTAGAGTGTCTGTAACTAATATTTCAATTACCTTGGTTGACAGAAAAGAGCCCGTTATCGTGCATAACCATGAAGATCACAGCGCACTAAACCTGCGTCATGAATAGTACACAGATAATTTAAGATATTCTCCAAACGCCGTAATTTATCCAACCGCGAATCAATTAAGACAAGAGACTGCCATTGTTAGCATAATCGTGTACTCTTTTTGTTGTGTGTATCCATAAATTTTACGGAATGGATATTCACCACTTGTGCACTTGGTATGATATCATACACCCAATTATTGCTTACCCCGGAGATAAATAATCCGGTCTATTATCAAACTCTTAAAACGTGTGAGTGCAACAGCTTCTTCCATATACTTTTGTGTATAATTTCTATAATTAGCAGTATAAACTGTTCCATAACCACCAAATCCAATCTCTTTGATTTCATCAAACTCATTATACTGCATGTACTTGACGTGTCTATAAATCTATCCAATACTGACTGTGTCGTGGTAGAACACTAAATAATATTCCCGAGCAAACGAATCCTAGTGGGTCCCTTTATCGGCACAGCTATGGTGGACGACTAAAGCCGTTGCAAACGGATCACGAGTCATCCCAATTATTCAAATATTTTGGATATTCCTTAACTAGCTATTGAATAAGCGGAATACGATAATCTGGTCTTAAACATTAATACTATTTGAAAACAATTTACCAGACGGAAATCATTGTCTTTATCAACCAAGTTGTTGAGCGTCGGATTATAATTAACGTCTGGAACTAACGACATGGTTTAAAAACGACATTCTCATTCGTTGTGTTTCAACATCATTAACGTAACAATGATTATTATTGATAATATGTATGAATTAGTTCAGTTCGTTTGCGGGTTACAATTACAATAGTCTAATTCATTAAAATAGACGCTTGTTAACCGTAACATATTATTCTTCAAACCAATCGTTGATTATCATGTATTGATAAGCACAAAAAAAGTTCTTTCCCGTTCGTTCAAAGCATCTGGTTGTCTTATTTGGTTTTGATTAGTCAAAAATTGTATTATTGAATAACAATATGTATGAATTTGTCCTGTAGTTTCGTTTGACCCTATTCTGCACTCATGTTATTGCTGTGGTGTATATCACGCGACATATTTAAACGACACCATGAGGTAATTTTTTGCTCCATTAGAAAGAGAGTCATTATGTGATTGACCCTTCTACGATGGGGATTTGTGAGTTGCGCAATGTAAAAAAGTATGTTTTACTTTTCATCCATTGCTGCGTTAACCAAGACCGGCACGGCCGCAGCTCATATTGTTTATTATTTCAGGACATTTCTTCACGTGATGCTCGAAAATTAAGATCTTGTGTGCATAATACATGCTAGCGGTACGTGCACCTTGCTGTCTGATCCATTCATTATGACTTCAAACCCTCGTAATAAACAGGGAAATAAAACGTTTTCTTCTGTCGCGTATAAAATTCTTTATAATGACACTCGATCGCCGTCAGACAGCAATATCAATCAAATACTTGATGCTCTATTGACAAGCACTACTTTAACCAGAGCAAATGAACAGGACTTGTTAGATCTGCTCGTCTCTGGCTGTAAAGCAATAAATTACGCTGACGAACAGTTTGTATTAAAGTTTAGCAAAATAATCTTTATTGTCTGTAATAAGCACCAGGTTCGTTTCGCCACTGATTAGTAGAGAGTTAATTGCCGCCTAAGAAGTGCTTGTCAATTAATAACTGATTATGCGTAATGTAGATCAATCTTAACGGCAATTCATCCAGACAATCGCCACTGGAAGTGTTATTAACATTCTTAATAAACTCGTACCCATATGCCACTCAACCGTCGAGTGAAATCAACATTTTGCGTACATTGAGTGCGGTTCTTTTTGAGAACGGTGCCAAATGCCAAAAGGTAATAGCCCATTCATGTTCTAGCTCGATAGCTTCAAGATTACAATATTATTTCCGTCTAAAAATAACTTATTATTACTTCAACAGTTCCACGAAAATCTCTGCCGGCTTTTATTTCCTCTCGTACGGCCAGATAATCCTAATCTTGAAACAAGACGTATGGCCATTAATTGTCTTGGTAATCTATGTATGCGTACCGGGAACAAACTAAGCGGAAAATATAAAGACATCTACGAAATATTTTTGGCTAATTTGAACTCTGTGACTATTGATGATACTGCCAGTCTGAAGGTTTTTATTTGGTACACGTGAAATGAGATGCACGAGTGGGAAACAGACTAACGCATATATAACTTAATGTAGGTTGTAAGCAGCACGCTACGCGCGTTGCAGTTGGTTGTAATTGAAGATAAGAGTGTCCTTGCGGAACCGTTTGGTGCTGTTGTTGAGACGATTAAGCGTTTTGTGTTCTTCAACTTTGATGGGTCAAAGGAAGAGGCATCAATGCGAGGTATGCAGACGTTAGTTTGATGCACTACGGGAGGCGCCAAATTTTGGTTGACACTCGTTTGCTCGCCTAGTTAATATTGTTTATTGGATAGTCGGGGTTATTTCATACAATAATCTTATTGCTAACAACAGATCAGATGTTGCCAACCCAGATGTTGCGTCGGCAATCCGCACCTACGCCCAAGTCTCGACCGTTACGTCAGGTGAAAGCTGGAACTCATTCGCGGACTAACAGCAAATCATGGATGAGCTCGGATTCCGAACTATCGGATGGGGATCATTTTCATCAACGGAAAACGTATGTATTAATGTCTGTCGATGTGATTATGATGATGATTTTAATGAGACTGTTGTTACTAGGAACGATGGCTCGCGGATAAGGTTGAATGCACTTGGATGTCTGCAGGCTATAGCAAGGGTAAGCCGCATTCGTGTCTGAAAGTTACTTTTGACGTGTAATATTCAAGTTTGATTTAATATATTATTAAAGGCAACCCCTAAGTTACTACATCCGTACTGGACTAGATTTCTGTCTGATATGTATTCTATGCCGGCTTCTCCTTCTTTGTTCGCTCTGGTTGCTCATGATACGGTTCAAACGGTTCGCGTCGCTGCTTGTTCAGCGATTATGGTCATGTTAGATGGCTCGAAAAAATATCTATCCGTAGCCGATGACCGGTCAGTATTCAAATTTTGTGAACAATTATATCCGGACTCTAACATTGATTACTTACCGTTTTAATTTGTTCTCATCTATGAAGAGACACAAAATCATCATTCACATCTCTTTCGGCAAAGCTGGGCGGCCTCGTACGCGAGTTACATACCGAATTAATTAAAACTATTGCTTTAGAGGAAGAAGTTCCGGTGTTAGTTCAACTGTTAAAGTGTGGCAACGTATTAGTTACTAATACTGCATATGAGCGACTGTCTCCCGGTTATCTAAGTCGATTATTTCGTGCTGTTGTTTCGCTACTGGCTCATGAAGGTGAGTACCGCGCTTACGTGCCATTGAGTGATTACGTGCGTGCTAACCTTGATATTGCGATTATAGATACGTCTGTCAGAATAAGTACTCTGACTTTGCTTTCGTCAATAATAAGCTGTGATTCACGTTATGATGAAGTGCTACAATTATTGGAAGGAAAAATTGCATCCGATTCATCTAGCACGTCTACACTGCTTCATGGCTCTAGTCTCTATGACAAAACCCTTTTACAATATTTGATAGAAACTGTTGGCGACAACAACCAACCATCTAATGTACGCATAGAAGCGTGGGGGCTTCTATGCGGATGTGCTAGAGGAAGCTTTATTGATGTGAAGTAAGCTAAACAGTTATATGTTGAAATTATTTACAAATCAAGGGTAGTGTACTTATACGATTCTGAATGTAGTTATCTCTGGAGTCAACTTGAGGTTCTGATAATTAATGGTATGGGTGCACGCGACATCAATATCCGTACTGCTGCCATGACTTTCATGGAGGAATGTGCTAAAGCAGCTTCATCGGGAAGTGATACTGAGATTATCGAAAGATCACCTGTGGTAACTATAAAACTAAGGGTTTCGGCACACTTATTTGTTAATATTTTCCGACAGATATGGTTTTTACTAATAATAGTTCTGTAGAGCGGAAGCAAGCCGCCAATCTCATCAGACGAGCTATTACGCTGGTGGCGCTTGATAATTGACAATCATATTAATAAGGCCGCCACCGACGAATGTCATGCTGTCCGAGCATTGAGTTGTGACTGTTTGTCTCACATACCAGACTATATATTTACCGAATTGCCTGTGAGTGAAAGTGATTATCGGTATCTTGCTTAGTATTGGTATCGGATATTCATGTCTATTCTATTGATTAGGATGACCGTCGATATTATTGTATGACACTTTTACTCGGTTTTGTACAAGATGACAGCCCGATTGTTAGGGCAGCTGCATGTCGAGCTTTTGGGGTGTTTATTCAGTTTCCTAGTTTGCATGAGGTAATGAACTAGTTGACATTTTGGTTGCAACATATGGTTGTCACTTTTGTTATTGTTTTTACCATTTTGTAGTAATGTTTATTACGTCTGCTAATATTATCTACAGGATACATCATTTATCACAGACATGGCAGTGTCAATTTTGGAACAAATTTCAAACTCTAATCTAATGGTCCGAATGCGAAGTAGCTGGGCGCTTGGAAATCTCTGCGACACGCTAGTTAATTTGAGGTTATAATAACGTCTGATATTGTTAGGGTTTACTATGGAATAATATTTCAGTTTACTTATGCACAGACTAATACAGCAGCGACGGAGACCGTCTGATGGAGTTTCTAACGGAAGACATGTGGTTACGTTTGCTACGTGCCGGATTAGCTGCGTCAAACGATAATGACAAGGTTTGCAGGCTTAGAACTGATTAAACGCGACTACTGTTATCAGTTTATAATTTTTTTATAATAGGTGAGACCAAATGGAGTGAGAGTTCTTGGAAGCGTATTACGGATAAGTCCGGAGACGTATCTGATGAAGGAGCGGGATGGATTGGTGAAGGAGGCAGTTCTTATGATTGTTAAAAACTTTGAGTACAGCTCATTGAAGGTGAGAATTCTTATTGAGAACTGACACGAGCCTGGCGATATTTGTTATTGATGTAAGTTCATGGTTATTTGCATAGGTTCGGTGGAATGCCTGCTACGCGGCTGCAAATATGCTGCGTAATGTTCATCTGCCTATAAGTTCTGATACATGGGCAAATACGCTATATGAAGCTTTGATTAAGGCTATGACTTCAGCCAAAAATTTCAAAGTACGAATTAATGCGTCCCTTGCATTATCCTCTCCTGATGCTCGTGATAAGTATGGGAACCAGCAAACGTTGGCAAAAGTGTTTGAGGCAGTTGTGTATGCTCTGGAGAATGTGGAAAGTATGGCTGGTGCAGGATTCCAGGAATTTAAATATCAGGAACAACTGAGAGTGCAGGTAGGCGGTACATGGTGAACGCGAGGAACGGACGCGTCTCGTTAACTGACAACATGCTGATATATTTGAGTTCTTACCCAATTTTTTTGGTTATTAATCATTTTCTTTGTGCTTTATAGTTGATATCTACATACGATCATCTCTACGGACTGTTAAATGGTGGCGAGAAGGTCAAGTATCGGTCACTCATTGATAGGGTCATTCAATCGCCTGGATATAATAAAGTTAAAAACGATCTGCCAGAGATTAAGATAAAGTAAACTGTTGAATCTTGAGTATATTAGAGATGAATATCGTTTATTTATTTGCGACGTGGCGTGGTCGTTGCGTCAGTAGTTTAAGCTATGCAATTCGCTGGACTGATACCAATAAAACTTGGTGTTTATTCCGAGGAATTTATAAGGAGCATCGATCAAAGTTTTTGCTAACAAGACTGGGCATATGATAAACGATTAATATTAAGTGGTGAGATCGTTGGTAATTTTCGTGTTGCGTTACACATTAGCTGTAATTCATCAGTAGGACGCGAAGTTACTACAGATACATTTGAGCGTTGCAGGCCTATGAATTGAGGATATATCAACGGCATGCTTGTTTATTGAAGTCATACTCGCGGAAAATTTAATAGATGGTATTGATGCTTGAATATCGTTAAAAAATGCTAGTATTAGAACTGATATATCGTAAAGGAGTCTATAAGTTGACTCACTGAAGAGGTTTGAACTTCCGTCATTGCGATCATGTGCGGAAAGAATTACGAGCAAATAATCCAAAAATGTGGGAAAAGGATTACACCACAAAATATTCATTTTTTTTCTCACCATTACAGCTGTGAGAAAGAAAGTCTATTACTATTACTATGCACAAAACAGAGCAATGACAAATAAAGGGCGATAGATGGGGTGGAATGAATAGAAAACGATTTCGTGCAACCACTACTAAGCATGCCATTACTCAACAAATGAGATTTTGTGTTCCAGATTTTTGTTGCGATTACATTTTCAATATGAAATAGTTACAACGTAGACTTGGGCCTAAAAAAGCTGTAGTTTTAATACCTGAAATCTATGTGACATGTCAATATTTTTCTTTAGATATTGCCTTATAGTATTATAGCAAGAATGATACAAACGGGTTTTTATATCGGAATGCAGCTGATATCAATTGGCGCCAGAAAATTAAATCCAACTCTGTGTAACAAAAAAGAACGACTTCTATAATTTCAAATACATTGACATGGGCGTACATGTCAAGTAACAAAATTGTTTGCTCAAAAATAAGATTAAGACCAGCAAATAGACCCAATCTTAGTTCTGTAACAAAATTTATAAGACAGTTTATAGAGAACTTTGGGCGCGTTTTTTAATTGAGAAATGGAAATTAAGCCAGCTATTGATTTTACGGCCTATGTAAATTGGTTATTGAAAAAGGTGTATCGTTTTCCTGCCATAAAATACCTTTGAGGCGTTTCAGACATCAAGTTTTAAATTTAATTATTCGCTCAGACATGGAAGAACTTGTCACCACTGGGTTTTTTATTACATAATATGTATTGGATACTTATACAGTATGCTAGATGGGTTACCAGTCATGCTATATTTATTTTGTTTATACATATATACAGTAAAATATCAATTAAATCCATGGCTTTCCTTATTTGCCACAAGCGCATAGCTTCAATCTTACTCTAGCCAGATATTATTTTAATATCTCCGCATCCGAATTTTTTCCATCTCATATGAATGTCTTCATCAATATCTCCATCTTCATCTCCGGACCTAATCTTACTACAGTTTCTGTACGCAACTATGGCTGTATTTACTATCACGTCTTCCTCCCAGAACCATGTAAAATCCGTTTTCTGTATATAGTTTGTGCCTCCGATCTTATTCAGTTTATCAAAGGAAAAGGTGTCGGTAACATCAAATTTGAAGAACCTGTTTGTGGTCAGATTATTGCAAGTTGAGTCGGCATATGCAATAAACAAGTATCTGTGGTCTTTATCCAGTCCAGAATGGAAAGATCCAGATATCATCGTTCCACTTCTTAGTCTGTCGTCAAACAAGTTGAACGAGCCATGCAGATTTGATTTAGATGAAGTAGGTTTGAATGCGAGCGTTGCACTTATTGGCTTGTTTATTGGCAGTTGTACGGCAGTAGAGAGCACAATGATAGCCAGAAACAAAGTAAGAATAGAAAAGCGCGCACGAAAGATAGGGTACATATTGAGAAGAGAAATGTGAAAGGAAGTATCCGCTTATGGGCGAACTCATTCAATGTAATGTTGTTGAATTAAACAGAGAACTGCCACTCGATGTGTTCGCTTGACGTTGGCATCAGATGAGAATAAGTGCGCAGACTGATGAGTGCTATTTTTATGCTGAAAAAACTATCTGCCCATATTTGTTATTCTTATTGTCATTGCCTATGCTATTTATTTCGATGTTGTGAAACAATTTGAGAGTTTATTATTAAGTGATCATCGGCTGATCATAAGACGAAGACAGATAGGCTGTGTTGTGAAACTCGTTCGAATTACTGTCATGGCTTTATTTACAGCTAACTCAAATCGGTACTATGTTTTTGAATTCTCCTTCAATTACCAACGAACTAAAACATATTGAGACGCTATCCAGTAAACGGTTACAAGAACTTTTAATGAACAAAAGCGGGTAGCCAAGCAGTCACTATATGATGACCGTGTAACCATGGATAATTATTGGCGCGGCTGATGCTGAAGCCGTGACTTTTCATTGGTTGATCAAATTTTATTCTTTAATCCCGTTGGTTAGTTTCGGCTTCAGCCGGATTTCAGTAAGCACGCCAAGAGTTTTTCTTTTAAAAATAATTCGCTCGTGATACTGTATAATAGCTCGTCAATTTTAAGTGGGAATAGTCGTTAGAAGCTATAGTCTAAAATTAACGACAAGGAGAGATGTGGTCATTATTTAACCAACGCTTTTTTAAGCAAATACAGTATTCGTATTCTCATGTAGGGCATCTGTGCGCTTATTATAATGAATTGTTTAGACTCAACAGATCAAAGCCTCGTATTCTTTTTATTACATAATAACAGGTAATTATAAAAAGTCTTCGTTACTGCGATTACTGTTAGATGACCCCCTTAAAGTCATTATTTACGTAATGGTTGTCGATCATTTTCGGGGTGCTTATTCACGGTATAAGCGCGTAGTAATTTGCAATATTTTATAGACAGCATTTATTACTTATCAAAAACTCAAATATTAAACGTCCAAATCTTATCATTATTCGCCTTCAGATATTAATAGTTTTAAACGGAAAAAGTTTTATTTTTGATCAAATGCTTACGGTATTTGCATTCGCGCTTTACCCAGCGTTGTTGTCAACTTTCATAATGCCACAAATGTATAATGTGATCATAGAATGAGCAACTGGCTACTAGCTGTTTCTGATCTTGCGAATATGACCAATCTACACCATAAGCCAACGACTTGTGTTCTACAAAACTAGTATCCACAAATGCTCTATGCTGATCTTTAGTGTATAGGTTTGTATTAGTATAAATATATTTACACTGAATATCCTCTCCTGCGTGATCAAACTTACCATCTGATTCATCTATCTTGACTATGTGAAATCCATTATGCATGCATGCAGCTACGATTACGTTATTAGATTTAGGATGCCATTTCAGTCTCCATATCCCTCCACCAAGGTGGTGCTCAAGCAAAGGCTGTCTCATGATTCTGACGTCCCATAGGTAAATATGTTCATCGTAACTGGGTGTATTAAAAACGTTGTCAATTAAAAGAAAAGAATGCAGATACTGATTTGTTGTCCTCTTACCCCCCACTGACTATATAGTTTTCATCGTGAGGACTAGATTGGATACTGCAAACGCCTGCTTGGTGCCTAACACAGCAATGTTTGTTACTACAAATCAGATTATGCCTTTTTGTCAACAAGAGTATTTATTGTCTTCTTACTTTTTGTTGCAGAACACGGGAACGGACGGATCTGTCCTTATATCCCACCCTTTCATCAAACAATCATCACCACCTGCAGCAAAAGTAAGTGAGCTCTAACAATTTACATACAAACGCTTACAATAACTATATAGACATGAATTTACCGCTGTAAACAATGTTTGTATTCCAATAATTAAATGCTGCTATCCATGCACTGTATTTATGTGCCGTCCACTTGAACGTACAATCAATTCTTTGATCTGAATCAATTGACAAAATTGATATCTGACCTTCGCTGTCAGACACAGCTACACGGGTCTCACTACATAAAAATACAATTAGTCATACGGAAACAAGTAGAAACGTTTTTAATTAATCTTCAATTGTTATTTCTATCTCACTCAGGTTTTATGCGATTAGACCAGTCCAGTGATAGATATAATTGGCCGCTCTTGTGTCTATCAAAACGTATCACATTTTGTAAAGTACTCTATATACGGTAATACACAGTAATTATACTTCAAGATTGAAACGGGAAAAACAACCAGAATTAGTTGCGCCGAAACATAATAACAGACGTGAATTTACCGTTTCATTTATTGCATACAAATCGATAGTGCCTGCGGCATTAGCAACTCCGAGGACAATTTTATCTTGAATTCTTTGATGCGACCTAGAATACACATGGTAAATATCAGTGACTGATTCTTAAAATAGTTCTCCAGGAAATTAAATAACTGTCCAACCATTTCATGTCTAATATTGCTGCGGTTTCAATCCTTTGACGTTCGCATCTAATTTAAATCATCCGAGTCGTTAGTATATAGAACCATGAATGATGACTACAAAAGTCAAGCCGATTGACATACAGCGTAATCTTGCTTCCATGTTCTAAAACTTCGTACAATAACAGCCTCCCGATACGTTTCGTGGGTGAGATTGGTTCTTGATCATTATCTTCTCCAGATTGGCCTGCATTTTCATTTTCTTCTTCTTTCACATTTTCGGTTTCAACGAGTTGGTATGTACCGCAAGCTACAAGATGCGAGTCGGAATCAAACGGTACGAATTCGATGGAATCTGCGCTATATCCACTATCATGGGAATAGATAGAACACGCAATATTTGCTATAGAGACAATTAGCTAATATGGTAATAAATTAACTTTGCACATTAAGCTCCCAAGGAAATGTTATTTACCTGTCATTAGTATTAGGTTATATTGGTTTGTCCGATTCAATGATGATCTCAAAGGACTCGAAAATTTTGCAATCACATGACGCTAGTTTTTAGAGAGTAGATTTCTAAGATACAACTCCCCCGTTCCAATTGCTGATAGACGGTGACATTTTCTTGTGTTCTTCATCAGCCTTTTCAATATCATGATTTGTTCGCTAATTATTTTTTGAACTTTCTCTTTTAATTTTCCTTCTATGGCATAATTCCCTGCTAAAAAGAAAGCGTATTTCTCATATTTTCGGACAATTTATAACAACGATCATATTAACTTCTAATAAAGATATTCAACATCTCGTTCGTGTGAATTACAAAGTATCAAAATGTTAAAACAATATTCTTACATACTATGCAATTTACTGCGGTAAGAAGGCATTATACCAGATCCGAATCCCCTGAATACTGTAGTTCTCTGACCAGGTATTTTAATATTTTAATATAGTAATTCGGGTACTTATTGGGTGGGTGTATATATACGCGCGCGAAATTGGTTGGCAACGTTCTCGTCAACTAAACACTATGACGAAAAACAATACCGAAAGCACGGTTAAGCAAGAAGGTTCGGCATTTGTAGAGTGTTTGGGAAAGATTAACAAATATACATTATTTAGAACGGGGCCATAATGTAGAGTAGTGCTAGAAAGTTTGATATTAAACATATGCAAGTAAATGGGTGGCAAAAAAAACAGGGAGAGCTTTAAAGCGCCGCGCTCCACATTTCAAAGATGTATAATGGACGTTTTTTGAACGAAGACTAATTGAATTGCGTTCAGAACATTGTAAGAATGGGAATGCTGTATCCTGCAACATTATAGGACAAACTTGTTATTTCGGGAAGAAAAATTCCGTCCTTTTCACGATATCTAGACTTCAATTTGTGACTTATATATTAATATCAGTATGTACTTTCGTTATTGTATTGCACATTTCAGTACAATGTCGACAAATAAAAGTTAGGGGTGGCAAGCAGATTTATTATTTTTATATTGATAAAACAATTGAAAGCATGGGCTGGCTGTTCAACTAAAACCTATATGGAGCATTTTACTGATGAAAAAAATCAAAGAAGCCACTTATGCGTCGGAAAATTGCTTATGTAAACTGGTAAAAAAGGCGTTATAAACATCAGGAAAGAAAAATCTAACGCGCGCGCCCTGTCCTTGATTTTTAAGTGTAACGTGAGAAGCACCCTATCTGCCACGTGATGAAATCAGGCTTGTATTAGATAGTAATAGAATGGTGTAATCAAATATTAATATGGCATATCATTATGAAAGAATGCATCAAGATTAGCGTAAATTTTCAATGGACTGTATATCGATTGAATAAATACGTATATTGGCTAGGGTGTCAATACCTTTATGATGCATGACATTTACGACTTGACAAATTGATTTATTAAGCAAAAACACGTCTATTAACTGTTTATTCCATTTGGCGTTTGCCGGCCTTGTAGAGAATATCGTTCACCCGTCGTCGTAATATTAAAGTCTTACTGACATTTAACAATTTATTCATTGGATTACGAGCAATTGGTCAATATTACACGAACGCTTTATCGGAATCTAATTACTTTTTTTGGTTTAACCATATCCACAATCAAAAAAATTGGTTTTTGCAGCTTTTCTGTAGAGTGATAGCCGATCAGACGCGTTACGTACGAGTTTCGGAGATTTTTGAATGTTATTACTTCAGATGAGGGCAGGACTCAAGTCAAATAACAAGAGCCCGGGTGTAATCGTGGTTCGAACTCACAGGGCTAACGTTAACAAAGACCTCATGCCTATTGAAAATTGAGAAAGTATGTATTAATATAAGCAAACATAACTTGCGATTTTCGGATTTGCATATGATCCACGTGACAATTAGGCTGCGGCCAAAAATCCCTTTTTAATTATTGGATGTCGGTTTATATTCAATTACTTACTATTTCTATTACTATTTCAAACGCGCTCACATTACCATGTCACGAACCGCACACGCTGAGCAATTACTGGGTCAATCCCTCTTTGAAAAGCTCCAGACTTGCCGAGTGCTCGTGGTTGGTGCCGGTGGCATAGGGTGCGAACTTCTTAAAAACCTCGTACTATCGGGATTCCGTCATATAGAACTTGTATGTAACTTTTTGCCGGCTAAAATGTCGTTTATAATGTGAAATCAACCTTAAGTAAAGCACTTGTTGTCTTATTTCCACTGCATGTCACGTATTCATTGAAAATAAAACGATATATATATTGTCTTGCCTAGGTTGACTTGGATACTATCGATCTCTCTAATCTCAATCGTCAGTTTCTATTTCGCAAACATCATATAAAGAAATCGAAAGCACATGTGAGATTCGTTCGAATGTCCCCACTCCATCCTTCTTCATAATGATGTCATTGACCAATTCCTGACTCGTTGTTTCTTTTATGTAAATAAGGTCGCCCGAGAATCAGCATTAAAATTCAACCCAAACGTTAACATAAAGTCACATCATGCTAACATAATGGACCCAGAATTCAACGTTGAATGGTTCAAAAGCTTTGATATTGTCATGAATGCTCTTGACAATCTTGGTATGTCATTGACGCGTTTTAGTGCAAATATTATATATGAAAATTGGTTTGGCCTGACATATGATTTTCTGATACAAATCCCTGTCGCTTCATTATTGCGTCTATTCATGTAGAGGCTAGATTTCATGTGAATGAAATGTGCATGGCCGCAAATGTACCGTTACTTGAATCTGGGACCGAGGGTTATGTTGGTCAAGTGACCGTTATAAAGAAGGTTGGCAAATATACAATAATGGGCTGTTGGTCGTCAAAAGTATAGTTAATTGATACTCCATTTACTAGGATGAATCCGAATGCTACGCGTGTCAAGAAAAGCCAAAGAAAGTAACATATCCAGTCTGCACAATACGTAGCACTCCCAGCAAACCTATTCATTGTATAGTATGGGCAAAAAGCTATCTCTTCAGGTGAATTCCAGAGTCATGATTTGTGAATGCAACGTTGCGGGCCGTTAGTATGCATATTGAGATGTGAATTTATTTACAATGTGAATTAGTCAGTTATTTGGTACACCTGAGGACGAGGAAGAAGAAATAAAAGAAGACATGGATGCTGATAATGGTATTCTATCCTCAATCGAATTCTTTGCGCACAATTCTTCATCTGCTTACCCAATCTTTCATTAAGCTCAGGAGATCGAGAACTTGAAGCAAGAGACTCAGGAATTGATAAAGATCAGAGAGGCGATGGGATCGGATAACTACGCGTATTTAGTATTTAAAAAAGTGTTCAACGACGACATTAACAGACTACTTACGTGGGAAGATATTTGGAAAAAGCGAACACCCCCCAAACCACTGGTATATGAGACGCTTGAAAACGGTGTAATAGATAATGGAACTGGGCAATATTCGTCAAATTCTGGAACGCTTGAGGATCAGAAAATATGGTCTTTAAAAGAAAACTTTAACGTATTTGTCGATAGGTATACCCGTATCGTTACATCCGTAAAGGCACATAAGATATTTTATTAGATTTTCTTGGGCGATTGCAGCGTTTTACTCTTACTAATTTGTTTGTTTTTGTGTTAGTGTTCGACGACTGAGCAAACGACTGTTGGAGGAGAAAGCGGACGATCCAACCGCGTCCTTATCGTTTGATAAAGACGACGATGATGCTCTTGATTTTGTCACGGCTACTGCTAATTTACGTTCTTATATATTCGATATTAAGATGAATTCAAAATTTGATGTTAAAGGTAAGCGCTGTGCAATTTCCGAGTACTTTTCCGAATGAGCTGTTATTTAACTTTTTCCTAAACGTTTTGGGATTATGCAGCCATGGCAGGAAATATTATCCCGGCCATTGCAACAACAAATGCTATTATTGCGGGAATGATTGTGATGCAAGGTTTCAAGGTGTTGAGTGGAAATCTGTCGCAGTGCAAGACGGTCTCTATCAAGTTCTGTTCAATCTCCTATTTCCGTCTAAATGTGTATATCATTAACCGGGTTGAATTCTGTATACAGGTCTATTTTGACGGTGCCAGACGTCCTCAGATATTCCCATCAGAGTCTCTACTCAAGCCTAATCCTTCTTGTGCCATATGCCGTAATACTCATGTATCGCTAAAGATCAATACAAAGACAACCACGCTGCGTGCTTTCTTGGAAAAAATTGTTCACAGTCAAGACGATCAAATGGATACAGAAGATGACGTAGTAATAGCAAACGCAAGAAGCAATGAGTATGTGACTATTGAGCGTTTGCTTTTCTGAGGTTGTTGGCCGGTATCATTTACTGTCGTCTTTGTTTTTTACGATCAATCAGAATTATATATGATCTGGACTACATGGACAGTCTCGATTCGACTTTTGAACAATTGAGTCTCAGAGACGGATCAATGCTTTCGGTAACCGCAGACAGCGCGACACCCGCTGTCTTTGCGATATCTCACAGGTATAGGACCTCTCCCTCTTTCTCTTCCTCCTCTCGCTTTGCTCAATCCATAATTTATCTTTATTGACTTTCCGATGACTTTATTTCTAGCGAAACATTCGAGTCTCCTGAAACCTGGTATGAAGTAGATAGAGACCCTGCAGACATATTTAGGCGACGGATGTCTGCTTCGACTGAAAACGTATCAACACCATCTCACAAGAGAAAACACGACAATGATGATGAGTTGGATGAAACGTCGCCGCATAAACGACTTTATACAGAAATGGACAAAGTTCTAGTAATTAAAGATGACGATCTGGAGATATTGACTGAAGTTCCGCCCGGTTTTGGTGATGGAAATTGAGCAGTTGAACGGGAATTGAAGTGGGCCGGGGCGAACTTATTGTAGTTAGAAAGCACATTAAAGTGTATTGTATTGTACAAAGCGTTCTACATGAATCCTTAATCCTGAACCTTCTCTTTCTATCCGGTGGTAGCCTTTTTCTTCTGTACTCGTACCGCCTTCTTTTCTTTGTCTTTCTTTCTGTCTTTTGGTTTCATCTTGATGAATCCTCTGAGTAGTGTATGGTATTCATTGAGAAATTTATTGCCATCCTTGGTTGTTACCTAACAAATGGGCGAGCGAGTATTAACGTAAATGTCGTAATGATCAATTAGAAGCTGACATTTGTAATAAACATACAACTGTAGAGAGCTTGGTCTTTCCGCAGACAGCTCTGAAAAGACAAGGATATTCCTTATCCGATGACACGGTTTTAGCCTCTGATGAAGGCTCGGTTTTCTCTTTTTGTTGTTTGGCAATTAGTTTTCTTTCGTCATAAGTGTCTATATCCAATATAGCGGTGAGAATACGTAATTTAATAAGCCCATTGGAGAAATCGGAAAAAATGACCGCATACATCGTTTCATGGACAATGAGACCTTTCTTCCGATTGGTTCGGCCGCTTTGAAAACTTCAGAGAGTCGTATGAGAAACTAAAAGATAAAGAGTGCGTGAGAGGCAATGATAAAATATCCAAGCGTTTTATTCCTGATCTTGGTGCAGTAAAAAAAATATACCGTATCATTATCTAAAACAGTCATCGTAGACAACTTGGATGTAAATGTGAACCAAAATCAGACGGTAAAATTTAATTCATGCTGCGATCATTACCGTAATAGTAAGTAAGGGGAAATTATAACAACTCTGATCACGAGTTATGGTTTAATTTGGCGGGAGTCAACGCGGCGACGTTATAAGACTTAAAATAAAAATTGAAAACCGGATTTCTGATCAATTTGGAAATAAGTCACTGTTAACGTTTAGACTCAAGACTGTTTTTATTCACAAGAAAATTAAAAAATTTTGGTAAAGGAAATATTAAAACTCGATATAGTAAATTAAAGTAACAGAAAGAAGGTCAGCACGACAGGTATTCCATAATAATAATAAAATTTCTGGATAAATTAGAATTGTCTATATACGTACTGTATTTATACGCACGCAGGCTCACACAATTAAAGATATAAAAAAATAGGTAAACACGTTTTGTTCTTTTGACAATATAAAACTATGCTCATTTTATATTGTCAACACGCACCGCCAGTGCTGTTCGACCTTCTATTATCAGTGTTTAATTAAAGTGATGCTACGACTATTCTAGAATCCTGAAATGGGTTCGACCCTTTCAAGATGGAATAGTCTGTTTATTTTTATTCTTATAACAAGATAATTTATACCCAAATACACTCAATAATGAAAATTGTTTTCGTACCGATAGGGTTGCGGATTACGTCAGTTACAGTATAACTAATTTCCATGTCTTCTTCGGACCAAGGTTTATAATAAAATGCACAGGTTACAGTTCTTACATGTACGCCGACGCCTGTAACCCCAACTGTCATGCGCTTGTTAAGAGCGACCAAATTAGTCTATTTTCGATTGCTATTTAATTGATGCAATTAAATAAAAGGCGCAATTTGTCTGCATGCGTTATACATGCCATAGTATAATTTGAAATTTAATGCTTCGGACGAGATTTCTACTAATGTTAAATCTATGAATAGAGTTAGTGGCCTAGTGTTGAGTTTATTATACTCACGATGTTAAATCGGCCTTGTATATCGAGTGCTTAACCTCGAGTAATACGTCGATTTTTCTGATGGGATTAATTCAAGGTAACAATGTCAATGTCATAAAATCGATGGGCGAACAATTATTGATCTATCTAATAGGTCTTATTCATTCATGTTCATTATCACATTTCCAAGAGTGAAAAATAAGCCTCTGCTATTTTCAATAAGTCATATATTATTAGCAGGGACGAAAATAATAACAAGTGTCAGCAATTGGCAATGTTCTCTGTAAAATGTGTCACCAATCTTTATTTTTCGTGTTCAACATTCGTTTACTTTTGCGTGAGGAAACAAGTCTGATGCTGTGCCCATTTTTCATTACCTAAATTACCCAAATTTGGAAAGTGAAAAAAAATCGAAACGTAACTCATAATAATAAGCGCCAAATGTATTGTTGAAGTCAGATATTTTATGCATGAAAGGCGTATATAAATCATGGCACAAAATTTCAATATGGCAGTTGTGTCACAACTCCGGAAATAAAGGCTCCTTTTCATCGCAGTGCAAACTACATCGTTAGTTCCAAAGGTTAATATGAGCGATCCAGAAATTGATAAGTCGATTAATTCCTTCTTACAAAGTTATGGACTTGCAGAAATCCATCATTCACACATTCACGACATAAAGCCAACTCAAATTGACAATGTGTATTACGCTATTCGCACGAACGCAGTAAAACCATCTCTATCTCGTTATGTGAACGTAATGTTGCTGTTACTTGGGAGTAGCGAAGAATGTACACCAACTCTTGTGAGTGAGTTTGCTCGAAAATACTCACTTCCAACAAATAAATACAATAACGACACTGATCAGTTCAGAAGATATTCCAAATGGCTTACGTTTCGCAACAAACTCATATGTGGATTCACCAAGAATGACGGTAACTATTACATGGTTGCCTATAAACGCTTTTACGATTGTTATTCTCTCTATGGGTTCTGCGATGCATGCGGAGTACTCCGATGCAGTCCTGTGTGGTGTATATGCGGTCATCAACAGATATCCAGTGGATGGACTAGCAAGAACAAGCGACTCGACGAGTTTATTCGGAAGACTCAATCACAAACAAACTCGGCAAATCAAGCCTACCTGGAATGGATTGCATTGAATTATATTATTGACGGAGGATATAATAAAGGAAACTTGCATGGTTTTTTACCTATTATTGCCGATAATTATGTAAGAGTTAGATCGATTCCGCTCGAGATAACGGATGAAATTGACGATTCATATTTTGACGAGGTAACTATCAAGTACAAATATATTGTGTTTATTTAGTTGAATAAGCATTGAATTATGTACAATTTCCGCTAGTTATGTGATGAGCATCCAGACCTTCTTACCACGGACATTTGGGCTACCATTGGATTTATATACGATACGTTTTCACAGAAGTATTGCCTGATAAAAGTTGACAGAGGATTATGTCTGGCATGTATAAGGCAATTAGAACCTAGAATAAATGCGTTCTGTTACTGTTGCAAAGCATCAATACCTCCTAATCGGACTACAGGCAACAAGGCTTTGGATTTATTTATTATGGAGTCATGGGACAAGGTGGAGCATGTGTATGATTCCTATATACAATGGATAGACTATTCTCTATTGACAGACACACATCAGATGACATCATTAAGCAATGGATGCACACATATAGCAAAATGGTTAGAACCAGCAGTAAATGAATGGACAAAAGTGATGCTCAAAAAGATAGTTGGCAGTCAGGATGCACAGTTATTTGATTTTTATCAGGTAAATTATTTTATATGTAACATAATGCAAATAGGGATTAATAGCACTAAGTATGTATTCTAATTGTAATTGATTGTTAAAATAATTTATTATTATTCAATATCAATAGTTAACTAAGGAATACCCAACAATACTGACTCCAGATAATGCAATGATAGTTGGAATCACTCAAGAACCATCTACTCAGGAATATTATTTGGTTTTCTACCATGAATTACGCCCATTGTTGGACAGAATTGTCCAACATTGTGGGCATATAGAGTATGCTTTGCCATATGAGGACTTTGATGAATTCAAAGAGATTGGATCTGGTGGTTACAAAACAGTCTATACCGCCAAGTATTCAGGAAGTGAGAATTTTCCAAGAATTGTTGCACTTAAACGTTTTAAGAATTTTGATCTGATGCGAGAACTATTTATTTCTGAGGTAAGCTTTTTTTATATACTAACTGACATAATATTTAACCTGACCCTGTATATTAATATTTTATTTATAGTTCAGAAACATTGCCAAATGCAAAAATAGCAGTTCTTATTATCCATTTGCATTTGTTGATATTTATGGGATTACACAAAATCCAGAAACAGAAGATTATATGATTGTTATGCAATATGCCAATAAGAGGAGTCTCATGTCTTATTTGGATCAGAACATTGACAACTTGACATGGCTTATGAAATTGAAGTATCTGTCTGATATTGTATATTGCCTGGAGCATGCTTACAGAATGGGATTAGTACATTGCAATCTTCATGGTGGGAATATTGTTGTGCATGACAATATGCATGATAATGAGATGAAATTTTTGATATGTGATTTTAGTCTTTCTCAAACAGTAAATTCACACTCAATCACTCGAGGTGTTTTACCTTTTATTGCTCCAGAAGTCTTTCACACTTACAAATTTACTCAGAAATCAGATGTATATTCTTTTGGAATTGTTATGTATCTGATGGCCACTGGTGAACAACCTTTTAAAGACAGGCAGTTTGATAGAGATTTAATGCATGATATTATGGGTGGATTACGACCAAAGATGCCTGATTCAGCACCAGAGGAATACAAACATTTTGCTGAGTTGTGTTGTAATGCTGATCCTGATAAGCGTCCAGATCTACAAGCACTTCGGAATAATTTTTGTCATCTCATTAATATTGGAGAACTAGGTCATAAAGATGATGCATGGAATACAATCTATCACAAACTAGAACACTTATCATGCTCTGACACTAGTAAGCTTGGAGATTTGCCCAAACTGGAAACTACAGGTATGATAACAACAATTGTACTTGGTTATGCATAGAGTGTTAAATAAAGTCCAATACTAATGCTAACATTATTTATTGTTTATGATTAACAGCTCAATAAGCATGTAATCATGGTTGTTTAATGTTTTTACAGAAATGAGAATGGTCAATGTATGTCGTAGGTTGAGCTGAAATTATAGTTTGTAGTAAATTCCAAACACCCAAGCTAGAAGACTGCCTCTTGACAGGTAGAGTGACAAGAAAATAAGACATTTTTTATTATTGTAATAATAAGAATGTAAATTATTGAGAACCAATATCTGAAGTTTATGGAACTAATAACAAGTTTGATACTACTGTCTTATTACCATTCACCAAATATCTCTGGGTCAGTCATAAATGCAATGGCATACATTTTCAAGGGGAAAAAATCGACTATTACTGTTTAAGCAAACAAAGGTTCGGTAAATTAATCTTAGTTATAGTTTTATGTGCAGTCTAGGCGGGGAGTTTTGTAACTCGTGAAGCTTTTGTCCCTATGGTATAGTATATCTGTTTAATGACAGACTTGTCTCCATGTACACAGGGACCTTGACACATAACGCGTGCTTGTCCAGACGTTAATTATTTTGATAGTACCTATACCATTACAAACCGTTGAGGAGCATTTACGATAATAATGCACGCAAATACAGAATCCATCATAAAATTAAAAATTGTCCTTAAATTCATATACGTAATACGGGCATTTGGTATCAAATTTGCTTTTGCCACGACAGCTGCATGTTTTCTTATCCAGAATCTTATTAATACTAATACTGAGCAAGCTTCAACCACTCTTCCAATTGCAACCCCCACGACACTGCCGAACCGGAAACCGTCATATCTGAGAAGAATGCAATATCTACAAGCGTAGTGAGCAATTTAAATCACACGATTTCTTGGTGTCGCTCGGTGCGACATTGTAT